TGGGTGCTGTTATGATGGGGGTGGTATAGTGACAACACCTGAAATGGCAGATTCTACACCTCTTAAACACAAATAACACTGTAAATCACTGTTACCACAATTTGAAAAACCAAAAAGGCAAACTAAGAAATGAGATTGACCATATATTTGATAAAGAGTAAATATAAAAATATAATATAAAAAATAAGGATCTCATATAACACAATAGCAAAAAACCAAAAACAAAAACCCATAAGCCAATGAGTGAAGAACATCAATAGACTATTTTTCAAAGAAGACATTCAAATAGCCAACAGGTAAATGAATAGGTGCTCAACATTACTAATCAACAAGGAAATGCAAATCAAAACCATAGTGAGATAGCACCTTGCACCTGTTAAGTGGCTATTATAAAAACAAATAAAAGAGATAACTATTGCTGGTGAGGAAGTAGAGAAAAGAGCACCCTTGTGCACCGTCAGTAGAAATGTAAATGGTACAGTCATTATGGAAAACAGCACCAATTCCTCAAAAAGTTAAAAATAGAACTACCATATGATCCAGCAATCGTACTTCTGAATATTTAGAGGGAACAAAATCACTACCTCTAAAATTTACCTGCACTCCTCTATTGATTGCAGTATTACTTATAATTCAGCCAAGACACGGAATCAACCTAAGTGTTCAACGGATAAAGAAAATGCAATATGAATGTGTGTATATACATACATCATACACATATATGTATTCACACTTATATACACATACATATCAATATTTATAAATAGTGGAATGCTATTTAGTCACAAAAAGAAGGAAGTCCTGCCATTTACAACAATATGAGTGAACATTGAGGGCATTATGTTGCATTAAGTCAGACAGGAAAAGACAAATACTATAATAATTGTACTCAGTATGGAATCTAACAAAACCAAGCTCAGAAACAAGAGTAGATTTGTGATTGCCAGGGGAAGGAGTGGGGGAAATGGGTGGAGGTCACAGGGCACAAATGTCTAGATATAAGATGGCTAAATTCTGGGGATATAATGTACAGCATAGTGACTGTATTTAATGATACTTTACTGTATATTTGAAAATTACTAGGAGAGTAAAAATGTTCTCATCGCGAGAAAAAATGTTGTTATAATGTGTGGTGATAGATATGACTTATGGTGATAATTTCACAATATAAACAAATATTGAATCAATATATTACATATTTACAACTAATGTATATAAATCAAATTCAAGTGAAAAATCATGTGTGCTTTACACAGTTAGAAAAATGATTACTAACTTTAAGATGGTGACAGCAGAGAGTGAAGCCAAATGTAGGGTTAAGGATGGAACCCTAGAAAACTGCACAGGTCACATTCCCATGAAGTCAGACTAAAGTCATGGTGAAGCAAGCCCAGGTGGTTGACAGAGCCATTTGAAGAACTTTAAAAAAAGGGATATAATTCACCAACCATACATTTTACTACTTTAAAGTTCAAAATTTAGTAGTTTTTAGAAATATGATCAAAATTATATAACCATCACCACTATCTACTTTCAGAACACTTTATCATCCCCCAAAGAGACCCTGAACTTATTAGCAGTTACTTTCCACTCCACACTCTTAGCCACCAACCTACTTCCTGTCTCCATGAATTTGCTATTTTGACATTCTATAGAAATAAAATTGCACACTATGTGGTTTAATGCAGTATTTTATGGAATGTATCAGTATTTTCTTTTCTGGCTGAATAATATTCACGCACACATAATTTTGTTTATTGATGGACATTTGCTCCCCCTTTTTGACTATTATGAATAGTGCTATGAACATACAATTTTTTGGTATGAACATGTTTCCATTTCACTTGAATGTATGCTAATTATGTAGTTCATTTAGGTTTAGCTTTTTGAAAAATTACCACTGTTCTCTGTAATGACTGTATCATTTTACATTTCCACTATCAGTGGAATGAGCAATGAATGTTTTCTCACATCTTTGCCAACACTTATCACAGTCCATCTTTTTTTTTTTTTTTTTTTAAAGATTTATTTATTTGTGTATACAGAACTGGGGTACAGGCCAGAGGCTCAGGGGCAATGAGAGGATTCACCAGAGACAGAATGGGGAATAGAACAGGCAGATGGACGAAGTACACTGCTGAGGGGAGCAGTGGGCCGGTCAGGAGAGGTCTGCCACCGCCATGTGGTCACCTCCGGGGCAGGCGGGAATCGAACTCATGCGGAAGCGGCTTTAGATTCTCAGTGCTGTGCTTTAACCCACTGCGCCACCAGGGAGGGCCTCAGTCCATCTTTTTGATTGCCACCCTGTGTATGAAGTGGTGTCTCGTTGTGATTTTGACTTGCATTTCCCTAGGGGTTGATGATGTTCAGCATCTTTTCATGTGCTTATTGGTCCTTTGTATATTTTCTCTGTGGAGATTATTCTACTTAGATACTTTTTCCATTTAAAAATGGGATCCTATGTCTTCTTGTTTAGAAAAATTTTCTCCTATTCTGTAAGAGGAGCTCTTGATAAAAACTATTGATTCCTCAGCCCTTAATCAGATCTACTGAATGGGTACCTACAAAAGATGATGATCCACTATATTTGGGAATGAATAATACAGATCAATGCTTTTCAGACTGTAATAGGTGCAGAAATAACTAGGGAAACTTAATAAAGTACAGATTCTCAGGGAAACAAAAAAGCACCAGAGTATTACCATAATAATTGTTGTCAATATGACCCACTGATGAATATTAAAATCAGTGGGCAGAAGTTTAAGGAGAAATAGGATACTTGCACATCATTAAAATTTTCCTCCAAAATATTTGTTAATTACAATAGCAAAGATAGTAGATTTACAATGAAGAAAGAAAAACGCCTCTTTAACCAGGTGATCAAGATTAACATGACCATTAAAAAGACATACTGACATTATGTGCTTCCTGATACCACATGCTGGAAAAGGCACATCACCTCTGTGGCAGTCTGCCCCAAACCAATAACCTCTATCATAATCATGAGAAAACATCAGACAAGCTCAAATTGAGGGACAGTCTACAAAGTACCTAATGAGTACTCTTTTAAAAGTGTCAAGGTCAAAAAGTACAAGACAGACAGAAACTGTCACGTTGGAGGAGACTCAGAGAGAGACATCACCCTTAAGTGTAATGTCACATCTTGGATCCATCCAAGATGGATCCTGAAGAGCTAAAGATACTGATAAAATAAACCAAGAAACTAATCAAACAAACAAATGAGATCCAATAAACTGGTCAATTTTTACAATTATACCATAGTTAAGTGAGATGCTAATGTTAGGGAAAGATATATAGGAACCTGATGTAATTTTTGCAACACTTCTGTAAGTCTACCATTATTTCAAGTTTCAAAACTGGAGGTTTTAACAATATGCAAATTTTTACTCTGTGGTCTGAGCAGAAGAATCTGCCTGCTGGTTCATAAAGCCCACTGAGTATGAGCGGCTAGGCTAAACTTAATCATACATCACAATCACCTGGAGGGCTTTTAATTTATTTGTTTATTTATTTATTTGTAAAAGAACTGGCCAGAGGCAAGGGATGAGAGAATTCACAGAGACAGAGTGGGAAGCAGAACAGGTGGATTTTATTGATGTACGCTGCTAAGGGGAACAGCGGGCAAGACAGGAGAGGTCTGTTGCAACATATGTGGATTTACTCCCTGGCTGGGGGTCGAACTCACGCTTTAGTGGTGATAGCACTGAGACTTAACCCTTATGGCATGAGGGAGGCCCACCTGGAGGGTTTTTTAAAACACAGCTTGTTGGGTTTAACCCCCCGAGTTTCTGATTCAGTAAGTCTGGGATAGAGTCCATGAATTTGCATTTTCCTAACAGGTTTCCATATGCTGGTATTGTGGTGAGTTACGAATGATTTTTATATTTTTAAAAGGGTTAAAAATGGATAAAAACAGGAATATGACAGAGACTGTGAGTCGTATAAAATATTTAGAGAACGGTTGTTGATTTCCAGACTCTTGCTTCTTTCTTATAATGAAGTTCTTAAGACAGTCCAATTCAGGTCCCACCTTTCAAGAGATTCTGAATTAACTGAGTTGGGCTTGTGTCTCTGACATCACTGATTTTTAAATGCTCCCTTTTAATTCTGATGTGAAATCAGATTTAAGAACTGCCAATTTTGGTTCTCTGCCTTCCTCAGAAAAGACTTCACAATCATTCCAGAGTTGGGGGTGAGTCCAAACCAGGGTCAAAGGTTTAAAATTCAGTTTGAAAGTTGAGCTCCTCTTTTGTGAAAGTTAACAAAACCTAAACACAAATCAGTATTTCTATCTTTCACTTATTGCCCCCGCCAAGTAAAAGTTAATGAACTGATGTCTAATTGGAGTATACATCAATAATAAAGGCTTTCAATTTCTTTCTTTTTTTTTTTCAAAGTTAAATGCATATGATATTTATTTATTTATTTATTTTTTATTAAAAAGTTTATTTTTACATCATTTTGCACATTTTTTTTTCATCTCAATTGTAATCCCCACGGGTTTCCCATCACCAAACCACCTCTTTCTTTTTTTTAAAGTGGCAAGTGTAACTGCAGGATGGTCTGAAATAAATGGGTTAGATAGACAGAGATGGATGAAAGAAGGGGGCGTCAAGGTGTGACTGCCCATGTGATGGCTGTTAAGACAACAGGGTACAGAGTGCTGGAGAAGGGGAGGTGAAGTGGACAAAGGTGTAGGGCTGAGAAATGGGTAGGAGAAGGAACACCTTCAAGGACCTTCAGCTTCACCACAACGCCAACATTTCCTCCTTTCCCACTTGAGCATAATTGGGTCCCTCTAAAATTTGGCCAACTCTTTCAGACACTTACCTTTTGCCTCCTTTTCTTCTCCCAACTAGAAATGCTTCTAATTATAGCCTGCTCTTCCTGCTGAAGGGGCTCAGTGGCCCCAACTACCAAGCCTCCTCCAGAAAGAGGAGGGCCTTGTTCCCTCTGAGAAAGGTCCTTGCTTGTCTTACCTGTACTCTCCTCAGCCTGATTGAAGCCACAGATCTGGCAGATGCTCTGGACCCACTTATTCATGTCCTCCTCTGTCTCAGCCACCAGGTAAAAGGTGCGCTCGCTGGTCTTGATGTCAAACACAAAGCTGTCCTGCAGCTCCTTCTTGTTGAAAGTCAGGCCTGCATCCACTTGCTCACAAATGTTCAGGTTGATGACTCGCAGGGGCTTCTTGGAGTGATCATTCTTGTAGTATTCCAAAACATCTGGATCGCCACTCATCCTGCCACTCCGCAGAATAAACCAGCGTTTCTTCCAGGCCTGAACAGGAAGGAGTAAGAACAGGGAAACAAGACATTAGTCATTTCAAAGCTTTCCTTAGGCGTCACTAGGTTACTCTTACGCCTGCAGAGTGAACACAGCCTTATTCTCCTTTCATTTATTTTCCCAGAATTTCAAAAAAGAAGGGATTTTAGAATGCATATTAGTGAAGCATTTCACCATGGAAACAGGGTCTTATCACAAGGAAATGAGATGTGGCATTCCCTCTTTTCAGATAAGGAATTTTGATAAAGAATAAAATATGGTAGAGGAACTATTCTGTTAGGGTAGAATATAGACACAAACCCACAGTATTCTTAGGCTGGGTGGAACGGGCAAAACCTTATATTTCAGTTTATGGATAGAGAGAGACCCCATGGTGACTTGAAGCAACAATGTCACACAGCAAACAGAAAAACTAATTTCTTAACTTTTAGTACAATGTGCTTTTTACCAAATCATGACTTGGAAAAATCATACTGTGTAACTTCAGGGTTTTTTTGTTTGTTTCATTCTCTGCTACATTCCTAGTATTTATAACAGAACGTACACATATTAAATGATCAATGTATATTATCGAATGAGTAAACCCTTATTTCATTCCCTACTATTGAATTTAACATGTGAGTTCCTATTTCCTTATATAGTCTTCATTTCACGTCTTCAAGATTAATTTGTGTGGTGAAAAGATACTGCATATAATAGAGAGCTTTGGGTTGGGTTTATGCTTTACCACTAACTTGCTGTGTGTGTTTACATTAAGCTATTTACCTCCTTGGATCTTTAGATTTTTTCCCTCATGTCTATAATGAAAACCAACACCACCATCACCTGTCCTACCTATCTTATGAGGTTTTTATTATGTAAATATACTCTAAGTACTTTGTATACAAACCTAAGATACTACAAAACGCAAGAATTTGATTATCACAATTCTGGGCCCTCCCAGCCACTGTGGCACGAGTTCAATCCCCAGCTGGGGAGGTGACCCACATGACCCACCGCTCCCCTCAACAGTGTGTTTCAGTACATCTGCCTTTTCTGCTCCCCACTCTGTCTCTGGCAGATCCTCTCACTCCCCCACACCTCTGGTCTGTACCCCAGTTCTATAATGCATAACTAAATAAATCTTTATCACAGTTCTTTAGAACCCTAGGACCTCCACTCCTTTAATTCTGCCACTGCTCATTTTCCCCTTCTTTCAGCTCTTATTTCCCTCCCTTCCCTACTGCATTCCTGTGATTCATCATTACAATAATTTCTTTGCTTCTCTTTCCACTCCTCTGATGTATCTGGGAAAACTAAAACCCCCAGCCAAGTAATGTTCTGCCTACGCTGCCTATTTCTACTCAGCTGTACACAGCTGGAGAAAATCAGCTATGTCAACTGATCTTACTTTAAATTCAAATGGGCCCTCAAGTTGCCTGACAATCCCATTGCTTTCATCTAACTCATGACTTTCTCCTGGTCTTTGGTAACTACATTTAAACTTAGTGTCTTTTAAACTCCTCTCCACCTCCATCCTTTGGGATTTGTTTTTATTGAGGTAATATGGTTTACAATACTGGATAGGTCTCAGCTCTATAGTTTCTCACCTTGGAAATTTTATACATCAACTCACACCTGCCATCTCCCTTTATTTTTACTTTATGAGAAAATTTAAGCAATCAGAAATGAATTTACACATCCCCCACCACATCAACCAACTTGCCTGCCTCTGCAGCAGGGACAGTTTGGCCATGGAGGGCTTCTTACTCCCCTGTGCATGCCCCTCACCTGCATGAGACACCACTTGAACGATGCCCCTCCTCTGGGGTTGCTGCAGTTTCCATCCACACTAGGATCATTCCCATCAGGATGCCAACCTCTCTCATATGAGGAAAAAAAAGTTTGATTCACATCCCCCCTCATTTGGCACTGTTTTTCTGCTCCTCAATTTTTAAAATACTATTAATATTCCTTTCCTTTTCTATTCTTTTTTTCCCCAAGAGTAGTCTAAATCAGGGGGGAGAGAGAGAGAGAAAAAATGTTGCCAAAGTCTTCAATGCCGCTAAATCAATGCTTGGGCCTTGCATGACTTTTCAGCAACAGTGGATAACAGTTTATTGTTCTCTCCTGTTTGAAGAACTTACTCTATTCAGAAAAGTTTCAGTGCTTACTCTCCATTCTCATTTCCTTGGCCTCTAGTTTTCTATTTCCTTTATTGGTTCCTTCTCATTGCCCTGACCTCTAAACATTAGAATGCTCCAACATTCAATTCTCAGGTTCTTTTCTTTCTCTTTCTACTCCCATTCCCTACGTTATTTTATTTCATTTCATAACTTGAAAAGGCATCTAACTGCTATAGAAATCCCAAATTTGTATCTCTGGCCTAGGTCCATCTACTGAACTTGTGTCTTATATCCAAATCTTCAGCAATAGGTACTTTACTGAACTCAAAACTGACTTTGATATTCTCCAAATCTGTTCTTCCTGCAATCTTTTCCATCTCAGCTGATAACTCTAGTCTTCCAGTTGTGTCGACCAAAAATCTTGACGTCATCATCAACTCCTTTCACATTTCACAACTAATCCATTAGCAAATAGTGTGGGTTCAAACACTTTCAAAATAGATCTACATTTTGATCATTTCTCTGCGCCTTCAATGCTATTTAGTTGGTCTAGCCAACCATTTGTTGTCTTCCTGCTTCCACCCTCTCATCCTGTAATCTTTTTTCCCCACATGAATAGAAGCCAGAGAGCATGATGCTAATCAGGAACATGCCACTTCTCTGCAAAAAACTCTCAATGGCTTTCTACCTCACCCAGATTAAAAGCCAATGTTCTCACCAGGACCAAAGGGCCTGACAGAATGTCCTTCATCCTATATCTCTCACCTCGTCTCCTGCCACACCTCACCTTGCCCATTCTGCTCTAGCTACTCTGGCCTTAAACACTGCCAGACACATTCTTGCCTCTAGGTCTTTATTCTAGATGTTCCCTCTTCCTGGAATACTCCCCCAGGTATTTCCATTGCTTATTCTTATCCTCTATTCAAACATCACATTGTCGGAGATGTCTTCCTGACCATTCAACCCTCACATTCTCTTTCCTCCTCACTTTACTGTGATGGTCTCACGAGTACTTACACCATCTAAAATAGCACATTTTTGTTGCTTGTCTACACCCACTTTCCAGAATGCAAACTGTACAAGGGTAGGGATTGGTTCTTTTTTCCCATGTCATATCTTCAGTATTTAGAATAGTGCCTAGTGCACAGCTGATGATCAATAAATACATACTGGGTTAATCAATAATCTTCTTACATGAACTTCTTCTGGCATGTGTGGGTCATGAGGATATCACTAGTGCCTAATAAGTTTCATACTGAAATGATGATTAGAGTATGGACAACAGAACGGATCTCAGGAAATAAAATGACTACTACTCATTTGCAGTCACCTAAAATGTTGCCCAGGTCACTACTCACAGGACTGTGTTCTTGTATGTGTACATATGTACTGTAACTGCACGCACACATGTAAGTATGTGGGTAGCAAGACACACTTTTGAAAGTTACTGTTAATAATGTGTGTCTTAGTGCTCGTCTGTAGAAAGAACCCCCTTCAAATTGCTACTGTGCAGGTGCAAGCAAACATGCTCTGCCCCCCCTACCCCCAAGAACAAAAAAAAGAGTTTGCTACAGAAAACATCAAGGCTGTCAGGTTTTGCTTCCAAGAAAGTGGTGAGGCTGATAACTGGCTGCCTAAAAGTGCTGATAAATTTATGACTCTGAGCAGGCACGGTTGTCAAGTTTATCCCCAAAGTCACATCCCTTGTCTGCCACAGTACCTTTCCTTCAACTCCACACACACACTTGTTTTTTGGAACCAAACAATTCAGAACTAAGCAACTCCAAACAGTATATAGCTCCTGTGATAACTTTCCGGTCTTTGTAAAATGGACCAACTTCTCTATACCTCCTAACACTTTCAGTGCACTTTTCACGGCATGTTATTTTTTATGACATACTATAGATATTTATTATTTGTTACTTCTTCCCAACTAAATTATGAACAATATCTTCTCCTAATTCTCTTTGAGTTTCCATGGTAGACATTTGTTAAATGTTATTAAAAGACTGATTATCATGACACTTTTTTCCCTTTCTCTTCCTGGTTCCCTTCCTTCCATCCATCCATCTATGTGACAAGTATTTATTTAGTGATTACCTTGCTACACTTGTTATTCTAGATAATGAGGATACAGCATGAGTTCCTTGTCTCACATAACAAATCATTTATTATTTTCCAAACGTGCCGCATAATTACATGACTTTGTACAAGCTCTTGCTTCTTGAAATGCCTTTCCCCTCAGCTCATCCATCTGGAAAATTCCTATATATTCCCAGTGCTGGCTCAGGTATCATTCTCGAAGTCTTTTACTTACTTTCGCAGTAAAAACTGGTCTTCCTCTCTTATGTTCCCTAAAAACCTGTACCTTCTTTGGTACTTATTCCCTCTGCTTTGACATTTCAATTGTTTATGTCTTCCTCCCTTTCAGCCCTAAGCATGTTAAGGTTAGGGTCCTGTTAGCCAGCAATTACTTGGCAGCTTTCTTAGCTTACATGGGAACTTGGTAAAGATCTGCTGAGTTTTTTTTTTTTTCAGGCAAGAGAAACATTAACTTAGAAAAGCAACTAAAACTATAAGTAAGCTTTCACAGTAGGCAGCAGAAAAGGAGGATAGCAAGAGGATTACAGAAAAGAGAAAAAGAAGAATAAAGGTACGCATGGATTCTCTTAGCATCTTGTTCCCTTCGTTCTAGTAAGTACAGTGTCCATGTAATAAATATTTATAAGGAAATCTGGGAGCTTCAGCTTGACAGTGTCTTACAATACACAGATGAAAAATTATTGTAGCATTACTGACACATAATGCAAGGCGAATGAGGGGACATGGGTGCTGACTGTTAAGGAAAAAGTCTTTTCAGGACTGTTCTTATATCTATCCAAA